TCAGCTTGTATGGGAAATAGGTCAGGAGTTCTTCCAGAAAGTGACATCCAAAATGGCACAGGGAAAAAGGATGCAAGATTGTTCTCATACCTTCCCTTCAGGTTTTCCAGTTCTCTGTGGTGAAGCATGCTTCTCATGTGTTCTTCCATCTCCTTCAACATGAGGAGAAAAAATAAAATAGGTCAAAACAAAATAATATGCTATATCGTGTCTGAAAAGCTCACTTTGAGAATTCTCCTGCCTTGCACAAGGGTGTACTCCTTGTACTCCTGCAGGGCTGTAACAGTTGCCATTCCTGTTCCTGTGACTATGAAAACACAGGTAGGCACACCTGCAGGAAGTTACGCTACCTTTCCCAAGATGAACATACATGAGTCATTAAAGCTCAACACAATGGAAGCAGAATTCCAGGAAAAAGTCAAATAGCAGTGCATGTAGCACAGTTTATTATAGTGATTTTTCACTGTTGAGAAACATTTTAATTAAGTCTCATTAAGACCACTCCTCAGAATCACAGTACTTAAAACTGTTTTCCTGTGCAATGTGAGCAGTTGCTCTGCATTTGTATTATAAGACAGCTGTAAATTCACCATCACATACTATTTTACTCGGCCAGACACTTCAGAAACTGAGATGAACATGTCAGTTTGTTTTTTACAGCAACCCTGATCCATGAACAGCAGTACTTTTATAATTATTTACTATTGAAAGGGAGCTGGCAGAAGAGAAAGAACAATCATCACTCAGCAAAGGAAGTAGTCCAGGTGATTTAACTTTCTTTGGTGTATGACCCAAAGTGTTTGGAAATCTTCAAAGACCAGATACTAATCACTATCCTCGCTAGCCCTTGAAAACCTATCTGCAAAGGGAAAGGAACATCTTCAATTTTGATGAGTTGTGTGAATTAAAACACTGGCATTTGCCACATCTCCACATGCCATGCAGCTAAGCAATACACAAAAATCCGTTAGGAAACACTCAGTTTCAGTGCTGATTTTGCATAAATACACAGCACACAGAACATGGACACCAAACTGACACATTAATGAAACACATGCTGTGCTACACCATTCCATTTGGCTCTTCCATATGGAAACACAGACCTCCCAAAAGGAAATTGAAAAATTGTGTATTGCAGTATTCTTCCCATATCACAATTTACAGCCAAATGTGCTTTTCACTTTAGTATCTTTATAAAATAATATAAGAAACCTGTAGGACCTCACTATTTTTAACATTCAGAACCAAGCATTCTGCACAGCTCACTTCAAGAAAGA